AGTTAAGATGGTTTACCAGGAAATTCCAGTCTGAGAGTGCAAGGTGAACTGCTCTTGTATAGTACACCACTTGAAAATTACACATATATCATAGTTTCAGAATCAGCATTTTACCACATATCTTCTATGAATCCACTCAAGTTTATCAACACTGTAAAACCTATTGTGGTATCCGATGCTCTTAAGTCTTTCTTTCATCAAAGGATATCTAAGAAAGGCTCTGTTAGATAACAACCTATAGTCGAAAAAACTTTATATGTGGTACATGTGTAAATGTGTTAGATGAGCATAAAATCTCAGGTTAGAGAGAGAATGGGGCATAGGGGCTTTATGCAAGGCTACCTTGAGCATAATGTAGTAGTTATCATACCTGTATATACTGTAAAACGGGTAATTTTGACACCGGGAAATTTTAGCGATTTTTCAATTTTAGGGAGTTTTAGCGCGGGAAATTTAAGCGAAATGAAGATTAATCTTTAAAAAATCAAATTAGCGAAATGCATTAGAAATTTTATCATTTATGGCAGAAGAATGAATAACGGACATGACAGAGGAATTATCAAAATGTAAGACTTCTAACGCACATGGTATTGGTCCAAACTACTGTAATCTCATGATGGATGGCTATTTATCCTTCAGATATTGAAAGAAACATACGATTTAAAAATATTTCCTTTTTAGATTACAAACCGGAAGTCGAGGTCTGAACGAAAAGCTCCTTAAATACTAGTATTCATGTAGTTTCCCGGGAATTCGCAAATTTTAGCGCCCGATTTATTTTAACCCCGGTTTATTTTAGCGAAACTATAGCGATCGCTAACAATCGCTAACAATTACCCCTCGCTAACAATACCCGTTTTACAGTATGTAAGCTCAGTAAAACCTGTGTATCCAAACACCTCTCAGTGCCAATTTTGTTATATCCCATTGACTTGCATATTAGGAAAACCTTGAAATGTGAACACCTGCTTTACTGAACACATTGGCCCTGTCCAAGTAGCAGATATGAACATTATAGAGCAACTGGTGAAATAGTCAGGTCATTCGCCTACCTTAATAGAAAGCTTTAAGCTTGGCTCACTTTAAATAGTCTAAAATGAAAAAGAAATGTGATCAGCGAACATGAAACATTTGTTTTGTTTTAATGAGGCCCAAAGGTGTTTGACGTACTCAGGTTTTGCTATATATTGTCAACATTGGAGTCTGGAACATAAACATACAAACATACTCATTAAGAAAGAAAAGTCAACAGTATACTGTATCAGTGCTTTAAAGTACCTAATTGAGAGTAACCCAACTTGAATATTACAAGTACAATCATAAGATAGTACATATTGACCATGTTTGATTGAATTTATGGCAAATTGTTAAATGCCTGGGTCACATTTGCTCCGATTCATCGGCCGGCACCCTGCCGATTGAGTATTCTGTTCAAAACTGAATACAATTGTACCTTGTTTGCAGAGTCTAGTTAAACTACACTCTGCCTAGTAGAGATCATATTACAGTTTAGTAGCCCCGCCCCCACGACGGGTACCGGTGACAGTTTGGGTAATTATTGAATCACTTCTGACCTACGCGCTGACCTTTCTTCCACCAATAAGCGAGCTTGAAGAAACATACGCCAAATTAAATTAAATATGCGCGTGTCAATGGTCAATTCTGGGCTCACCGATGATGTCAGAAGGAATGACCATATATAGAACGTCGGTCAAATTTGGCTGACGAACACTGATTGGCGCGGTGAGTTCACAGGTTTATTTTAGTTTGAAAGCTCTCTTTTAAGAAGTGAAGTCAAACGAATGCAAAGGGTAATACAATTGTGAACAGGATACTCAATCAGCCGGGCACTGGCCGATGAGTCGGAGCAAATATGACCCAGGCATTAGTTTAAAAAAATGATAATATAGGTACTTAGGTAGTATGCTAAGGTAAGGTTGCAGTGCAGGTTTGATAGCCATATGTTTACATCAGCAGCTCACAATTCACGTACTGTTTTGTTAACACTAATGTGGGTGTACCATACCGCTTTAGTCATGTTTACGGAATTTCACTTCTTTAACCAAATATTTTATTTAAGTTAGCCAGTTGTTTACAGTTGAAAAGAAGGTGTCTATGAAAGTGTGTTGAAAGTACAAATTGTAGGCTGTTTTGTTTTGGGGTTTTTGTTTTGAGGTATTTCATGGTCAGAGTTAGAGATAAATAAATGATGCAAATGTATATCAGGATACAATCGTACCCCATCCCATACCTACTAAAGGTTCTTGGAGGTCTGTACTATTTTTTGCAAACCCCCTCCCTAGATATAATATATGTTTTCCCATCCCCTCCATTCATATAATATATGTTTTCCCATCCCCTCCCTAGATATAATATATGTTTTCCCATCCCCTCCCTAGATATAATATATGTTTTCCCATCCCCTCCATTCATATAATATATGTTTTCCCATCCCCTCCCTAGATATAATATGTGTTTTCCCATCCCCTCTCTAAATATATGTTTTCCCATCCCCTCCCTAGATATAATATATGTTTTCCCATCCCCTCCATTCATATAATATATGTTTTCCCATCCCCTCCCTAGATATAATATGTGTTTTCCCATCCCCTCCCTAGATATATAATATATGTTTTCCCATCCCCTCCCTAGATATAATATATGTTTTCCCATCCCCTCCCTAGATATAATATATGTTTTCCCATCCCCTACATTCATATAATATATATGTTTTCCCATCCCCTCCCTAGATATAATATATGTTTTCCCATCCCCTCCATTCATATAATATATGTTTTCCCATCCCCTCCCTAGATATAATATATGTTTTCCCATCCCCTCCATTCATATAATATATGTTTTCCCATCCCCTCCCTAGATATAATATATGTTTTCCGATCCCCTCCCTAGATTTATATATGTTTTCCCATCCCCTCCCTAGATATAATATATCTTTTCCCAGCCCCTCCCTAGATATAATATAATATATGTTTTCCCATGTTGTCTACTTGTACTCAATAGGTAAGTAATGTGGTTATATCATACTTATATCATACCAGCTGATGCATGTTTCAAACACTTGTGAGCTAATATATCCCACATGGTATAGGAAGGTTGATTACATCATCACTCATAGATTCTCATCATATAATACAAAATTAAATCATATCCTTCAAACTTTTGACTGTCGACGACTACAATGCATTGTGACCACAAGAAAATACAACTGATACGGATATCGCCTTATGTTTACACATGGCCAGATCTGGAAAAAATAAAGAGGAGGAGGCCCAAAAATTATTATACATATACAGTAAAATTTTGACCCAAATCTGAAAATTTGGGCCAAGCAGCTCAAAATTAAAAAATAAGGCCTGGTAATACCAGTTTGCTACCTAAAATGCCCAATTTATGTGGGGTGAAGCCCCCCCCCCTGATCCACCAGTGATATAATTGTATATGAATAAATTATCTTTACAATTTGATGCATTGGTTAGTGCTGTGCTGCTGATTTACCAGAGTCCCTCTTTATTTAGCCGTTGCTGCCTGAAAGATATGGAGGCTTTAGAAACTATGTCCATTATCAAGCCAAAAGGATATATTTAAGAGATGAATCACATCCTAATGTAATAGATTTTTATGAACATCTATTTAATAAAGATGTGGATCGGAGGGGAGTCACACACCCATCATATTAATTGGGATATCACAATAAATAACATTAATAGTAAAATATCAAACCCACTCAGGCTGACATATTTTATAAAGTGAATGGATGATTCTATCTCGCTTGACATAGGCTGGTTTTAAGATATACAGGGCACTTGTGTTTACCTTCACTTACCTTAACTTACCAGCAAATGGGAATTTCATGCATAATTATTTCTTGGGGAAAAATGCATTTTGAGTGAGTTATGGTAGCCTTGGGTTCCACCTTCAAACTTGTGTGATAAAAATGAAAAATAGTTGCACACTTTTCATGGAGTGGGTAGTACCTGTGCCCGAATCTTCATTCTCAATTATCTTGTATCTTACAGAAAGTTGAGGTTGCCATGTCCATATCTGACTTCATTTTCATTTCATTGTATACTTAGTAAAATGTATCGCTCAACTCCTAACCTGAATGAAACTTTGCAGATCATCATGCATTTTTTGTATTTGAATATACGTGTATGTTTTTCCTTATTCTCTTTGCTAAGCAGTTCGGCTTCCTGACTACAACAACATGCTTCCTGTCAAATATTCTCACTTCAGTCATTGGTATTTTCTTCTTTTTCTCTCGACATTTTGAATGAATTTCTAGATTTTTTAGATTTCTATATAATTTAGATTTTTAACTTGTTGCCTATCAACAGAATTCCTTGCTCATGTTACTAATCTTCATGAAATATTACATTACAAATGACTTCTGTTATGTTTAATTGTTGGGGTATGACGTATCGTTTGTGAGTGCTCACAGGTGTTGTTTCAGCCAGTCATCCAAGAGTAATCAACTCAAATAGGTTTGTGGAATTGTAAATCATTCAAGACAGCTAGAAATTATGCGGAGAATACCATATGACTAATAAACAATAGACTGACTGCTGCTTTGCAGAAAGTGTTTATATTAGGAGGATGAGGAGGGAGGGCTACTGGTATTTGGTATTAGGTGTAGATAAGCCCTTCAGACATAACATATATGAGCCCTTCAAAATACCCTATTTTTCCATCAGGCATAAAACTCTCCAACTTAATTTTGGGCTTGATTGAGATAGGTTTAATAGCCACCAAAATAGAATGTGCACTGTAGACTCTGAATATAATCTTCATGATGTAATATTACATCAAGTCAGTTTTATCGTTAACCTGTGGATTACTTCCCTTTAAACATCTGTATGCAGCATAATGAGATCTTATATATTTGATAGAAATAAGGTTTAAGATTATGTGTATTCTCAAAAATCATTCAGCCTCTTCTAATCAACAGAATGTAAAGGAAATGTTATTTTGTATATTTGCAGGTGTCCAAGCTTGTTATCCTCCATGAAGAAGCAGAAGATGGCAATGCTATGCCAGATCTCTCCTATGCGGTCCATGTTGTCAAGAATGCTGTTGATAACCTTGTCAAGGTAAGTCACTATGAATGGATTGTCCATTTTGTGAATGAAGGAAGCTATGATTTATTGACTACATATATGATTTCATACTTTGCAGTCAGCAATGTTAGCCATGAAAAGATTAAGACGTTTTTGAAAATCCTATCTTTTGTTAATCATATTCTTGCTTCAAGATTTATTGGATTAGTCTATTTATGGAAAGTCTATAGAGCATTATGTTATGATGACAGATCGTAAATGACCGATATTAAAATAAAATTACAAAATCCTGTCAAATTTGTTGGTTTTTGGACAAGTTACACATATTAAACTACAGTTGTATAACTGTATTACAAAGTAAAGCTTCATGTACTTTACATTGAACACCTTGTACCAAAGTAAAAATATATCTTGTTAAAGGTGGTATGATTTCAATTAATGTATTTACCATTACATCACTAGGTTGGGTATGACACTATCAACAACAGTGATGACCAACTGCTCAAACAAGACATGCCACCTGCACTACAGAGAGTGGAAGAGGCCTCCCTTTATCTTATACAGGCCTCAGATATGCTCAGGGCCGACCCTTTCTCAGCACCTGCCAGGAAGAAACTGATTGAAGGATCAAGAGGTATGAAGTATACCTGTTATTTGTGAGGAGTTATTGGATATGGATTTTATTCAATGGGAATAGGTACTTTTGGAATATGTTTTTTGTTCTCATAGGATTTTCTGTAGTTTATTTTGTATTTTTGGTATATCCTGCTGTGTATTGGATGTAATGAGCATGCATCGAAGAACTCAGCCAATGCTTAATATCAGTGAGAGGTATATTCTGTTAAAATCAATGCCTGTGTTTTATAAAACAAAGCAGGAAAGTGACAAGGTAATTCCATGGTTATGTATGACCTGGTAACATTTTGCAGAAATATTGCAGACAGTGCAATATTACACGGTTCTTGAAATTAAATGTAGTGAGTCAAGAAATAAAGGAATACAGTGAAAGCTCAATATCAGTAAAACAAAGAGCACCCTGATAGAAGTTGAAAGCAATCTGTAGAATCCAGATAGTGTTTACTACAGTACTGTCAACCCCCAAAGATTTTCTCGCGGGACAGATTTTTTAGACCCAGTGCCCAAAATTCGCGGGATTTTGCGGGACATCTACTAAATTCGCGGGATTTTGCGGGACATTTAAGGGATTTGCGTGATTGCGCTTATAGGCTAATTTTTTTTTATCAAATTCGCGGGATTTCGCGGGACCATTCGAGGGACAAACACCCTAATTGCGGGACAGTTAACAGGTTTACCAGCAAAAACTTCATAGAGGGACAGATTTTCAAGAAAAAGTGCCCTAAATTTGCGGGATTTCGCGGGACATCCACCTAAATTTGCAGGATGTCCCGGGACTTTCAAGGGATTTGCGTGATTTGGACTAATGTAAAAGCGCGTGTCAAAGTACTTGAATCAAACTTTCAGATACTGATTAATCAAATATAATGCACCGTTACATTGTAACTTAAATAAACGTCAACATAATTTCACAAAATACGCATAGAAATATTATTAAACTTTATTGTAATTTATCAAAAACAAAAACCATGCTTCAGGTGTGAGTATCGTAATCTAACACGAAATTCAAAAATTTGGAACAATACTTTGCACTTCTCTGCTTCTGGCATCGTGACCAACTACTACCATACTGTAGGCATGGGCTTTCAATTGAAAGCCCATGATATAGGGGTTCGATTAATCTACATCAAATTATAGGGAATGAGGTTACTTTTCTAGGTAGGGTTTGTAGAAAAAAACGGGTACCGGGTAGTAAATCCTCCATGCTGGGTTCAAACTTGGTACTCGGTCGAAAAAACCGGGTACCCAAAGAACGAAATATACGAATATACAACATAATTAGATCATTAGAAAACGTGTAAGATTTGTTTTGAATTTACAAAAATGTAACTTCCTTCAAAATTGAGCTAGAAGCTTCAAATAAAAAGCATTTTAAGCCTCTTTTCTTCCTCTATCATCATGGTCATATTTCCATTGGTAATGAAGGGGGAGGGGGGTGCGATCGCACCATCACACCCTCTCCTGGCTACGCCAATGACATTGTAAGATGATTTGAATAACAAGACAAATCAATTTTACTCTATTTTCAATAGTTCGTATGTTGGTACGTGAACATAACCAATGAAGAAATATGGTCATGACGATAGAGGAAGAAAAGAGCCTTAAAATATGCTTTTTGTTTGAAGCTTCTAGCTCAATTTTGAAGGATGTTACATACATTTTTGTAAATTCAAAACAAATCTTACACGTTTTCTGATAATCTAATTATGTTATACTCGTATATTCGTATTTTTCGTTTTTTGGGGACCCGTTTTTTGACCGGGTACCGGGTACCAAGTTTGAACCCAGCATGGAGGATTTACTACCCGGTACCCAGTTTTTTCTACAAACCCTTTCTAGATATCAGCGTCCATTTATTGTAACTCGCGTTTGCTAACATTTGCTCAGTTCTGAGATGAAGGCCACACGGATAGTAAAAAGGCCAACGTTGAAACCTACATCCCTATTGTCGTAATTAAAATGAAAGTTGAACCCTTCCTCTTTATTTTGATACCAAACAACAGCATGCTAGGTCCTTAAAATTAGGTAAACTTTACTCCTCAAAAGTGCAAAAACTTAGCTTCTTATATAAGATAAGATAATCACCATATAGGGGATTGCAACAATTTCGGAAATTCGCAGAGGTCGAAAGCCACATTTGCGGGACTTCGCGGGACATTGCGGGACACGCGAATTAGCCTAATTTTGATCGAATTCGCGGGATAATCCCGCCATTCGCGGGACACTTGACAGCTCTGTTACTATGAGGCATGTTTTCATTAAAAGTGGCACAGAATTTGAGTTAATTCAATGCATCAATCATATTAGTCTCTGTATGACCTGGTAACAGTTTACAGGAGCACTAAATCAGACATTTTAATTACAAGGTATTTTTGGTTTTCTTTTTCTTGGAAAATGTGTAACCTACTATCTTAATGTGTCCCAACTTGCACTTAAATATATACAGTACACGATCCATAGCCCTTCCAAATGAGAAATATGTTTACAATTTCTATTTCTTTACAGGTATATTGGGAGGGACATCAGCATTGCTATTAGCCTTTGATGAATCTGAAGTTAGAAAAATTTTACGTATTTGTAAAAGTGTCTTAGAATATCTCGCAATTACTGAAGTCGTCGACTCCATGGATGATCTAGTCACATTTGTAAAGGTATGTCACAATTTTAGTCATAGTTGTCAAAGTATGTCAAAATTTCAGTCACATCTTAAAGGGATGTCACAATTTCTGCAACATTTATCATCTGTTCTATTTGTAAGGTATGCCACATTAATTGTCAAATTATGTCACAATTTCAGTCATATTTGTTAAGGTGTGTCACAATTTCTGCCACATTTATCAAAGTATGTCACAATTTCAATACTATTGTACTTTTTTAGAATCTTAGTCCAGTGATTACCAGAATGACTAAGGAAGTAGATAGCAGGGAGAAGGAACTAACACATCAAGTCCATAGAGAGATGTTACAAAGGTCACTAGAACAAGTTAAACAGCTCACTCCTATTCTCATCAGTGGTATCAAAATATATGTCATATCTAAACAAGCAGGTAAGGAAACCTAGAACATGTGAAGATTTTCTTGTGAAATCTAACATTTTGGTATTGTGTGTAGGATGTGAGAAGGGAGGGCGAGGGGGTATAGCGAGTGCAAAATTATAAAGTTTGCCACATTTGTATATTTGATTCTCAAAATAAGCCCATTTTACTTGTTTTACTATACTCAGTGGTCTCCCTAGCAAGAGTTCAGGCACTGCACCCAGTTGACCTTTGAGACATTGATTTACAATTCAGTAAAATATGAATTTTACACCCAAGTTTAAAAGTGTCCATTGGACGAACACTGCTATTTTTGTCATAATATCTAGAAATGATGCAGTGTCTCATTTTTATTGCCCACCTGTATATTAAGCATTAAACAAGAAATAGGAAATATGTAAATCTCCTCTGACTAATGCACTTTTCAGCTTAAAGTTCACATATATGTAATTTGTAAAAATAATACACCTGATTCAATTATGCTTTTCCCTCAAGCTGAAATGTAGCTAAATACAGTTATTTAGACTGTATAGTGCATAACAGGTGCTTCAGGGGGAACATGTTTATTTTGCACAGTAACAAGGTGGTTATGCTTTTACACGGTAACACCAATTGTTCTGATAAGTCAGTTGCATATATCTGTGATCTCCCAGCATTGGACAATCAAGCGTTATACCCTGCTAAAATTTTTAAAAATTTTGAAGAGGGTCTAGCCAGGTTCTCAACAGGTTGTCGTGATATTTTGACCAAAATGGGTAATATATTGTAATATTAATTATCATGCAGTTATGTAGGGGTCTCGTTTAAATGCACTGCAGTTGATAGCTACTCCAGTGTAGCATCGTATTAACAACAGGAATCACTGGCATGTAATATCAGAATAGATCTTCTCCTCAAAAACATTTTTAGTACATGTACTTGTGACCATTTATCTTTATACTCAAGACTTATCCAATTCAAAAATGAAACCTAATTATAAACAGAGATATTATAATTTCATCAGAAACCATTTTAGAATTATCAATTTGAAGGACTTACCAAGAGCCATAGGTTACTCTAATATTACTGGCTCCTTGTGATTGTTGGCAGAGTAGTAATACCAATGTGACAGTTAACACATCTTTGAATTTCAGCTGTCACATATCCAGATTTCTGCTTGGCATATTATCTCAAAATTTGGCAGTTAGTGCTGGTTTAGTGTTGATAAGCTGCTAATTCTTTCTGAATTCTGTGTAATGAGGTTTGAAGTTGCCAGATGATCATTTCATTTGTAGAATTCTTCAACCATAATTTTGAATATGATTCACTTTATTGGTCTTCACATATTTGGTGACTCTTGAACACATTGCATCACAAAAGCACAATTTTCATTTAATGCCAAACCTTTCATATAATAGACAAAAGTAATGTAGCAAGTCATGAAATTATCATTGATTGGGGTTGAAATCAAAGTCTAGTATCAGCTTCAAGCTTTGTTTATTTAGTACAAAGACTAGTTGAAGTATTCATTGAAACTTTGTATGCAAAAGTGAAGTATTCTTCTGAGAAAGCCAATATTTTTTTCTTCAAACTGAATAGTTAATTGCTTCTCATGAACTTGTTATGTAATTTATTTGTATTAATGAATGATTCATTGAGCAGCTATTCAGAATCTTTGAGAATATGCGCCTGATTTGCCAATTTTAAGATTGCCAATTTCAGTACTAGTTCCCTATTTGCTCCACAGGTGGCCCTGCTGTACAGGATGCTCAGGACAACCGTGATTACACTGTACAGAAAGTTTCTAATGAAATTCACGAGATTATCCGAGTGTTACAGCTGACGACATATGATGAAGATGAATGGGATGCTGATGATATTACTGTGATGAAGAAAGCAGCGGTATGTCACATTATTGACAAATACAATGTATATGTAAAAGATTAGGTTAAACAATAGCACATTTATGGGTCACATCTTTGTGAATTTTAATTAACATGAAAATGTTTTGCAAAAAGTCCTATTAAATTTAAATTGAATACAAAACATAAGAAAAATGATGCAGAGAATTTATTCAGTCAGTGTTTCCACATTAAACACTAAACATTTGTACATAAAAAGAATCAAAGAATATTAATATAACTTAAAACATTTCAGTTAACATTATAATGAGAATGGTTTTGTATTTTCCAGCACACAATTGACAGTTTGATGAAGCAGGCTGTTGATTGGTTGTTAGACCCCAACGCACTAGTAGGCGGGGTTGGGGAGAGATCGCTACGTACAATACTTGACAATGCTATGAAGGTGGCTGATAGGTGTGTCTACCCAGAAGACAGAGAAGCTATCTGTAAAGCAGTAGGGGATATCAACTCAATGGTGGATGCTTTGGCTGAATTAAGGGCACAGGGCCAGGTATGGACTTAATGATTTGGTTTGAATATAGGGCATGGAGCGAGGTATAAATAAAGGACAAGGGTCAATGTACATATACATACTTAGGGCATAGGGCATGGTTTGAACAAAGTGCATTAGGCCAGGTTCAAATGAAGAACATGGTGTGAGATATGAACTGAGAGCATAGGGAAAAACTATGCTATTAAGGCATAGTAAGCAAGATATTTTCATAGAATCTCTCTTGTACCAATCTCCTAAATTTTAGAAAACACAAAACAAGTTCTTTAATAAAGCCATTATAAACATTATAAATATGACAGAATTGATTTTATAAGAAATTCAGTCTTTATGTTATATAGGGTAACAGTCCCCAGGCTTTGTCCCTGGCTAGAGGTATTCAAGACAAAATGGGAGATCTTCAAACCCTTGTTAATCGTGCTGTGACAAACACAGAGAAGAGTGGTATACAACGACCTGCACATACAGTGGCAGGCAAGGTAGAGCAGGCACAGAGGTGGCTAGCTAACCCAGGAGTAGATGACAAAGGATTAGGTAAAGATTTAAACTGATTGGCTAGAATGCATCATGGGGTACTCATAGTCAGCTATTACTATGCATTTGTATGATTTCTCCTAAAATGAAAGGTAATATCTCAATAAAGGCAACAAACACTCTGTCACATTTTATCCCATTATTTTTACATCCATTGATTCAAATCTTGAGCAATTCAATTTTCACCATCAGCTCACAGAGCTATGTTGAAAGGAAATGACCAATGTCATCTTAGTCCATAACATCACATTGTCCATATTTTAAATTGATCACATTTATTGGATGGTGTATTAACCTACAGGTCAAAATTTATGATGCACTAGTTGTCAGCATTGACTTTAGTCACATTTTCTTGTGTAGATGTTTACTCACAATAATGGTTTTACAAATACTATTGCTTCCCCTCATATTAAAAATTAATTTGTAACTAGGAGAAGCAGCAGCACGACAGGTTGTGGCAGAGGGTAGACGTGTTGCTGAACAATTGACAGGTAAACAAAGAGATGATTTGTTGAGGAACTGTGATGAAGTGGAACAATTGACCAATCAGCTTGCAGATTTATGCCGCAGAGGAATGGTATGTTTTACTGCATTAATTTCTTAAAGCAAGACATGCTCATTGACAATATAATATTCTTCAGCTTGAAACTGAGTTCAAGTTTTTGACCCAAGTTAGTGATTTTTGGGATTACGTATTTACAGAATGTCTCATATGATATTATTCTGATATAAATAAGCCATATTTTCCCATGATATTACAAACAATATACATTTTTCCCATATATTCATATATTTCCGTGTACATTCACCAATTTTCCCATATATTCAAAATGTTTCCCCATTTATTCTCATGTTTTCCCATCAAATATTGCAGGGTAACTCCCCTCAGGCACAGGCTGTAGCTAGGGCATTATCCGGAAAGCTACGGGAACTACAGGGCAATATTCAACAGGCCCTTGTAGACAGAGTAAGTAAATATGCATATAGACTAGATGACTAGGGTACAATAATGCAATATAAACTAACGTGTGGGTCACCAGTGTCTCAGTTTTAACTGGAGCCATGTTAAGAAGTATGAAATATTTCTTCTTTTGAGAAGTGTTTACTCACATAGCTTTGTAGTAAATATTTATTTAGTGTGTGCATTGTTTCATGTTTCTCATTTCAGAATTCCTAAGATTTCTTAACTCTTATTTTCTTGTAGAATTCAAAAATGGTAAGGCATCCAAAAGGTACTAAACCCATGTATTACATACATCAATTTGAATCCCATTGTTATTATGTCACCACCAAAAGAAAGTGACATATTGTTTTGGTCTCTAACTTTTTTATGACGGCGGTTGGCACTTGGCGTCTGGTGGTCGGCGTCTGTAACAAATTCTTACAACTTTCAATAACTTTACAAGTTCTGTTTAGACTGACTTCAATTTTTCTACTTGTTCCACTTGCTTAAAATTGACAATTTTTTTATCAAAATCTGCAAGTTCTCACAAGTTTAAATCTGACTTTAGATATGAGATTTGACCTTCTCAAGGTAAAAAAGATGTTTTTCAACTTGTTTCAAATTGACTGATCTTTTTTCAAGATCAGCTAATTACTACAAGTTCTTGTAAGTTCAAATCTAACTCAAGATTTGAACTCATAATATTGCAACTAGGTGGTGACATTTTGTCATGTTAATGCCTTGTGATTATTTTGTTTTGCATATTGCATTACAAACTTTCATCAATGCCCCATAATTATTTTTCAGTTAATGTTTTTCAATTGAGCTGACCCGATATATGTATAACTGTGCAAAGCTGCTCGAAATGTCTGGTGAATGTATCAACACAGAAACTGTTATGTATGCTATGTGTATCCCAGTGGTTTGAATTCCATTTCCAAATCTATATCAATGTCTATTCTTCAATGTTAAGCATATTTGTATGCTGTTTCAATATTACAGCGACTAAATATATTATACGCTTTCCATTATTGTTCAGGTTCATGTTTAAGTTTAGTTAAAGCAATTAGAGAATGGCTCTGACTGAAGCATGGTATTATATTTCATGCACTACTTTTCTGGGACTATTTTCAAGGATGCACTCACTCTAAATAAATAAATACAGAGTCTCTTGGAAAAAATGAAATCATTTGAAAGTTAAGGCTTTTTATTTTACATCTGGGATACCCTGTATATCAGAGAAGCACGCCTACATAATTTATATAAATAACACAAAAATTTATTTACAAGACCAAAAAAGAGAAGGTCAGTTTTTTTTCAAAGATCAGTTTATCTTTAAATGATTTTCTTTGCTTCTGTTACAGGTAGCAGAAGATTTCATAGACATCAACACACCATTGAAACAGCTGGCAGATGCCTCTGTTGTGCCTCTAGGTGAGTTGTCTTCTCATCCATTTAAAATGGGGACAGGGAAAAAAAAAGAATAACTAAATAAATCAAGAAGTATGCATGTGACTTGAAATTCAGTGTAGATAATTTGAAACAGTTTTTGTTATTTTTTGACTTATTTTGCTTTATTTACATATAACTGGTTATTATAATAGTTTTTTCCAAATCATATGTTTTTCCCCTTTGGTTCCCCATTCCCATACACATTTGCCACTTAACATATTTGAAAAAAGAGACCAAAAGATGAATTATTATATTTACAATGAAACAAAATTATTTATGGCAAGTTTTCAAAAAGACATTGATCTATATCCCCAGGCACACCTAACAGAGAAGCTAACTTCAATGACAGGGCTGGGAACTTTGAGCAGCATGCTGGTAGACTTGCCCAGACTGCTCAACTGGTGGCTGCAGCAGGTGGCAGCACCAACAAGAGAACTGTAGAGGCTATCAATGCAGCTGCTGCCATGGTAACAATCAATCACGAGCCATACATCAAATGAACATGTTAAAATCATGTGCTATCATCAAAATCAATTTATTGTCATGAAATAAGAATTCTTATCATGTATTGTATGAAAGAAACTATATAAATGTGAAATCTAACCTCAACTAACCCTGCTTGTGATAGTAACAAATGTGTTTCCTTTCCAGTCGAATGAGCTGACCCCACAGGTTGTGAAAGCCGCTAGGATTCTGCTGTCGAATCCCCAGAACCAGGCAAGCATGGAGCACTTTGAGCTACTGAAGAACCAATGGTTGGAGAACATGGAGAAACTACGAGGTCTCGTTGATGAGGCTACAGACACTGCTGCATTTATTAAAGCTACTGGTATGTGTGTCTTTGGATTATTCTGAAACAAAAACCAATGGAATGAAACTAATTCATTTGTTAATAATAGAACTTAGTGTGCTTTGATAGAGGAATGTTTTCCTCAAATAATATCCTATAGACTAGATGCGAGTAGAAATAATCTTGCTTTACGTCATTAAATATTCAAAATTCAGTATGTGGTTTTTCGAATGATCCTGAAATGAAAACCAATTTTAAATGAAATGAAACTAATTCATATGGTATAGAACTTGGTGTGCTTTGATAAAGGAAAGTTTTCTTTTTAAACCCAAACTATTCCTCAAATAATATCCAATTCATGTACATTGATTAAAACCTAACATGAAGGTGTAGTATATTGAAATAACCTGTCATTTTACATATATGTTCTATGAATTGTTTTCAGAGCAGGGTATTCTACGTGATACAGAGAGAACTGAATCTAGCATCAAGGCTGTCGACCCTAATGGTGTTGGTATGAACACAGCCAACATTGCACGCAGGGCCAATCGTGTACTCCAAGTAGCTGAACAAGAGAAGTCAAACAGTGAAGACCCTAAATTTGTTGACCAAGTGAATGGCGCCACTGAACAACTACGTGCAAGTATGTATCACTCTCAGATAGTATTGTCCATAAGTCATTTTCATACTTAATTTGTAGTACTGTAGAATAAATACCATTGATAGGCCTTGCAATAGGGTATATTTGAAGAAGTTACCATACAAAAAGTGTGGGATTTTAGTTACAACTGTGACCTATTTGTTGTATTGTCAAATTGCTTCAGAAAATGGGAATTATTCATGTTCTTATTTTGTTCTATTAAATGTACATTTATATGGCTTTTGTTTCAGCTGTAAAGCCAATGTTGCAGAATGCTAGAGGAGTAGCAACCAACCCCAGAGATGGCCCAGCCTCTGGTAGATGGAGGGGGGCTAATCAAGCTGTAAGTATAGGCACTTTTTGTTGTGTCTGTATCTTGTCATGCACATCCTGATAGCATCTGTTAAATTCAGTATCACACATTGAGTAACAGTATATAGTGCTGGCCCTAGCCCTGATCTTGTTACTTGGCTGGGAAATCAGGTTTAGTTGGCATCATTTTGTTCCAGACACTCACAAGAGTACACTTCAAATTGTGCCAACTGTACCATCTGAGTAACTAAACCATAGCTTGGGACATCACTTGTACATAGAAAATAAATTCACTGGGACACATGTATCACATTGTCTTACGCTCATTTTAATTCAATACCTCAGTCTGATTATAGAAGCCATGTATATATGAATTATTGTATTTAACTATTTTACTGTGGGGATGATATGGTACCCATTTTGTTCATTGTTTAACTATTATATGTATGCATGTATGTCTCCCATGTATTCTAATCATATTTCTACCATTGTATCACCTTTTACACTCTCAAAGTGTCATTATGGTTTCATGGTTTAGCCAGAGCCAGTTTCTCTCGTCCCCCTTGGCACCCTCTAATACACACCAACATTTCAGTTAATCACTGCAGTGGGTCAAGTCCGTCATGCTGTCATGGTGTACCCAGAGCAACCCGAACCAGAATTTTTCCCACCTCCACCCCCAGACATGAGTCAACTTAATTTATCAGGTAAGCAGATTTTACAAACTGCTTTAATAATTCTGTGTCTGATTTCTATGAAGTGTGTTATTTTATAGAATTAATATTATAGAATTTTTTGAGGTAGAGTTTTCAAAACATTTTGAAGTTTTCAAGAGTTTTATAAAAGTGTGAGCGAGTGCTGTGAAGTTTTTGTGAGTATTCCACAAAATTGTTCAGCACATTTGTAAGTATTCCACAAATTGTTCAACACATTTGTTTATTTTTATATCTCGTATATTTTATTTGCTAATTTTGCTTTTAGATTTAGATCAGTTCTTTCCATTGAGTTTTGATCGACCAGATCTGACTCAACGTTATGTTACTCAAGGTAGAGCGCTTCGCTTTTTCACCCATTATTAGTTTCTTTTTTAGACCAAGGATTGCTTTGTATGCTATATTCCCACTGTTTCCAAGCAGTTTTGCATGATTTCTTCGGTACCATTTCTTCAGTTTAGAGTTTCCAACACAATCAGGGATATTTTAGTTTTGTTTGGTTATGATTATAAACTATTTGTTTTTTGATAGTTAAAATATTTTTTATCTGTTTTCTGTTTTATTTACTGGTATTATATTATTTTGGTTTAGATAAATCAAGAGACTTTCCAGTGGTTGATTCACATCCTTTGTTCTTATTTATTTATGAGTACTAATATTTGTCATTGCATGGTCACTAATACATGTATATACAAGATAGTAGACCAAAGGTGAGAGTTATTTAGTATGCTATATGTTCTATCAGCTCTTTCTTATTCTTATTCGTAAAAATCGGTTGTTCTGATCAGTTAGTTTGATGACTTGTAGGAAACATCGATGTATAAGTAAATGCTGAATATTTGTTTTCACATTTTTTATTAAATTTTGGTTGAACTCCTATTGAAAATATATAAACTGTGTGTTATATGCTCTGTGTGTGATCTTCCTATTTTTCCTAAAATATGCATGTCAATTTTGAAAGAAACATTTTAAGTTTGTATACTCAGTAAAATCTATCTGCCTAAATTAATATTCTTGATTTTAGTGATTTGATTTTCTATTTAGCAAAGGTTGACATGGCACCACCGCCAAAACCAGTGCCAGTGTCGCCACCTATAGCTAGAGTAGTCAATGCAGGTAGAAAATGCACGGTCAAACAAGAAAAGAAACCTGCCTTGTTTTACAGATTTGGTGGTGGATCATTAATGCTTGGTCCCTGCTCAATTTTGATTTTTGCCACCATTTCCTCATTTACCCATTTCGTTGATTTGCTCTTCGAGTGCTGTGTTATCATTTTGCTTCAATTTTATGTTCTAAGGGGTCTACATCAACATTATTTATCCAATCCAATACTTTAAAAAGGGCCCCTTAGTTTGATTTGATGCTTACAATTCCAATGTTTTGTTGATTTTCCTTTCCTTTCTAAAGATTGGGGAGTCATACCTTCAATAAAAACAGTTTGCAAGTGATACATACCTGTAGAAAAGTCATGCCATTATTACAGAATGTATGACCTTCCCTAATCATTATATCCTTTTGGATGTCTCGTTTTGTTTGCATTCACAGATTCAATAATTTATTTTAACATAAATACACCATATTATCATGTTTTTGAGTCCATGTTCCCAGCAAAAGTGCACAAAACATCACAGCCTTAATATTCTGTGGTATCTACCTATGTATACATGTTTATGTTTTTAACCCAAGTATCCCCTGTATATGTACTGTATGTACTGTACTGTATATGTCAGCATGCAATATGTTTAATTTCAGGTAAAGAGTAATCTAATGTTGTTAACTCTTTCTATGTCTGCAAATATATAGTATATATAGTACATGTTTGTTGTGAATGTTATATATTCTCTCAAATCTTAATTTATCACACTTGTTGTCAAAACATGCAGTAAATAAAATGAATGCTGTGTTTTAAATACTTCCATCAGCTTGTAGTGTAGGGTTATGTATCACAAGGTCTTGGATATAGGGCGTATCCAGAGGAAGATATACATCTTCTGGAGAGACCATAGGGAGATATAGATAAACCCTATTTCCAAAACTGACTATACATAACTAATATCACATGTAGGATGTTTTATCACATGTAGAATGTTGTATCACATGTAGAAGATTGTACATATTTGCTGTAGATGCTTATGATGCACCCCCGCCCCCACCTCCACTGTCAAGTGATACTGCTCAAGGTTGGTTTTCTTATATATCCCATCTCATATTATAGGTTATTTCTACACCCCTGGTTTCTCTCTGTCTCCTTGACCTTTATGCTGTATTGCATCCCATATTTTATTTATTATAAGTACCCATTTTTTGTCTCTCCTTTTTATGTCATCACCAAAACTTTTTTTGATGGCGTTTCAGCGGTTGGCATCTTGCGTTCAGCATCTGTAACATATGGCAGGTGGTGACATTTTGCATGTAAATGCCTATGTTTCCACTTATTTGTTGCTCTCTTATCTGTATCCCTATTGTCTTGACTGTCCAATAAGTCATTTGTACAATAACCTGTACCCCCCATATGTCATATTGTATTCTGTCTCTCATTTTATATTCTTCAGACTTGTTAACACTAGTTCATGTAACTTTTATGTCTCATTCGTTTGTTGCTTAACCTTTGTGTAAGGGCAACTTTGTTTTGGCTTAACTCTCCTCTCTCTATCATCCTTCCTGTTGATGTGGTATATGTTACTTAAATTCGGCAAGCTCATCCTGAACATTTAGTTTATGTTCCTATTTGTGAGTTGACCTGTCTTGCTAGTTCAATGATTGCCAACATAAAATATAGGCTACAGTAAAACCTGTATAAGTAAAACACCTTTGTTTGAAACACAAAATAATGTTCCACTTGGGTGATGTTCCACTTATATGGCTTCATGTTACATGAGTCAATGGGTAACAAGACTGTGTTCCATTTATAGATGTGTTCCACTTACAATGGTATTCCACTAACAAAGGTGTTCCACTTACAAAGATGTTTCCCTTTACATGTTTTTCTGTACATTTACAGATTGAGCAAAACCAATTCTGACACCCTGAACATTGTTGCAATCTAACCTTGCACCATTACACTACATAGCCTTTTTTATCTCCTCCCCTCTTTATCTCAAAACTACCACACTTGTTGGGGTTCTGGTTGAATGTTTATCAAATAACAATGTTTGCATACTTCACTATTCCTTCTGTTCTAATGCTTGCATAGTGAGACTAATGATGTTGCAGGATCAGACTAACGATGAAGGTATATACACACTGAAAATAAATAAGTAGATTGTAATTTATTTATAGTTTTAGCTTAATATTGTAGTGTAACTTTACCTGTATCATTGATTTGATTTGATTTGATTTGAGAACTATATTTATTCAAGGCCAAGTAAAATTGAATAATTAATTTCAGATTTTTGTTTTATTATTTGATATAAGGTCATTGGAAATACACAGTCTAGCACACATGTTGAATTAAATGAATTGGCTTGTGTTGATCAATGGGCACATTGGGTAGGTCCCTTTGGATTGAGGACTTACTTCGAGCATTATGCAAGACTTGTATTGCACCTAAACCCCTTCAAAAACCCTAGCCATATTAGATGTATTGATTGAACATAATATGTGAATAAAAATTTCATGGTCTTGAAACAAGATTTTCTAGTTTGGTAAATTAAATAGTTTCCAATTTGTGTTTGAAGGTACATCTGGCATGGTATTTTTATTTATAATTCAAATCATCACGCAGATATATGATTCATAGTAATAAATTATTCATAATCATTTCAATAATTTTCGAATTATGTTTCCATGTCTTATAATTTAGATTTATTTTTCTTTGCTAAACGTCACGCAGAGCTTATATACAGCACAAGCAATTTGTCCTGTATATGTTACATTTGAGAAACTGAATATTGTTGTAATATTTATGTTTGAAGGTTTAAACAGTGCCGCACCCCCAGTGCCACCTCCCCCATCCAGTGGCTACTATCCTTACGGAGGTGAATAAATGTGAATGAATAACAGGAATGAGGCTGATGTGAAAATGAGGCCAATTTGAAAATGAGGCTCATCTCAAACTGAGGCTTGGTTGTTTCTGCTGCCTGTGTCATTGGAATTATGCATACATTACTAATATAATTATTATGACATGTAATATCAAAGACACTGCATGGTTCTTTCATCAGTATGAGATGTCAAACCTCTCATTCATTTTCAGCAACATTTCGATTGCACGCAATTCTGTTATGTAATATATGATGCAATTTTTGTTTTGATATTTTTTTCTCAAGTTTTGCCATGTTTTAGTTAGTGCCATCTCTTTATTTAGCAAATATTTTTTCAGCAGGTTTATTCAAGGTTTATTTATTTATTTAATAATTATATATATATATATTTTTATTTATTTTCTAATAGCCTGTACCCAACTAACTAATTCATCTTATTTGCAGGTGTCTGTACTAATTGAGTGATTTTGTATAAGATACTAACTCATTTCTGGAATTATCGTACTTTTCTAATCACATCATACTTATAAATAGAATAATTCTCAAAGAAATTTTGTTAAAAATTTGCCTTGAAATAATTTACACTTATACACCCACACCAGTGCCTTCCCCTCCATCATTCTTATATAATGCCTTATATACATATAATTGCCTTCTGGCAACTTAAGTATCGCCACTTGTATGATTTTATACATATTGAACAAAAATATATTAATAAAATTATATCCCACCCCAGCTCTTCATAACTATAAGATTTTAATATAGCAAATGACATAATTGAACTTTAGCGCTGATCAATTTGTGGTGTATTTCCAGACCAGGTACCTCCAAGGCCACCACTCCCCAGAGACTCTGCCCCACCCCGACCCCCACCCCCAGATACAGATGACGAGGATGCTGAATGGAGATTTTCTGCTCCTCAGGCCAACCAACCTATCATGGTGAGATACTTACTATGAATATTACATTTAAAACTATTAAGTGCACGAACAGTGATTTCTTACATGCGTCACTCTATATAAGCTGATAAAAACTTTACCTCACTCTAAAATCTTATTATTATCAATAATCACCAACATCATGAATTTTTACCTGAGTAAAATGAAAATTTAAATAAAATGAGTATATTTGTGAAAATTAGAATGTTCCAAAACTACACAACATTGTGTGTTTTTTATTATCAAAGCTTTAGGTCCTAAGCCATAAAAGACTTAATGAGCATCCATCTGTTAGATGAATTTTTGATCCTTCTTGCCTAACAGGCAAAAAGTAAAAGGTATTCCAAAAAAGAAGATTGTATCTACCAAAAACTTAAACAAAATGATTGCTCCTGAATTTCATTTGAATTTGATTGATTTATAGATGGCAGCACACGCTCTGCATCAAGACGTGCAACAATGGTCAAGTAAAGACAATGAAATCATTGCAGCTGCAAAGAGAATGGCTGTCCTCATGGCCAAGCTCAGTCAGCTAGTTAGGTGAGTAGAATGTGGCAGTTCTTTGTTCAGCATTCTAGACATCATTCAACAGACAAGGAACAAGGAATTATACCAAGCAATACATTTATTACATTTAAAAGACTCTTAGGAGTAAGACACCTGGCCACACTTCAAAACCAAGATGACAACCCCCATCAAACAGTGTTCTTTCCTCATGAAAGATTGACACCTTCATTCTTGATAAATAGTTGCTAATGGCGAGTGAAAAAAATTAAAGTAAATGAAATAATGGAAAACTATATGATTAGGCTAGCATTCCATATGTAATAACTAGCTGCTCTGATATTAGGTTATGATTCATCGATGTCTGATAATATTACAGTTATTTCCAAGTTGTCATGCATATTTAATAACTGTCTCGAGCCCTAGTTATTTATTTTCTACCTGTAAATATGTTCTTGAAGCTTTTATCAGTAATTGAAAATGCTATGCAAACACCATTCACTTTGTGAGAACATTGATGTACCTGGGAAACTTGCTTGCTAATGGACTTTGGATTGTAGACTGTCGTAATTGGCAGTTAAATAATTTAGTTTGGTAATGTCAGATTACTTGAATGTTTTTCTCTCAATTGTTTTATTTCCTGTAAATTACTAATAATGGTGCTTATGAAGAACTGGGAGAGATGAAAGTTGTTAATGGATCAAAAAGTGACTGATTGGTGTTGTTGACTCTAATCAGCCTATCGTACATCATTGAGAAAACATTATAAAGTTCATCTTTTACAAACACTGAAATATTTCACCAATGGATAAAATTCATTTCTTGTAAAAATAAACTGAGGGGCAGTTTCTCCAAATTATATGTGTGCAGTTTCTATAAATGGATATGGATACTTTAAACGGTTCAGTTTCTACAGGAATCTCATCAAACCTCACTTTGATAATATCAACTTCAATAATGGCCTCAGAAGAGTCAATCGGAATGTCATCAAACTCAATGTTGACATCTACAAGTTCATTAATAACATCTTCAAATCTGACTGCAGATTCAGTCTTGACATCAGTGATTTCAAATGTGACATCAACAGATTCGGCAGCACCAACTCTTAGTTTACTACAGCATATTCCTTCATCAAATCAATCACTCTACCCAGAATATCGAATAGCAAGAATGCTGGGATTGTACTGTCCTCCTGTAATTATCCTGCTTGGACTAATAGGCAATTCTTTGACATTCTGGCTCCTATGCAGGTCACCATTGAAATACTCATCAACATCTGTGTATCTGAGGGTGTTATCCATTGTAGATTCACTTGTATTAGTGATTGCGTTAGTGCGACTATGGATCATGGAACTAAGTCTTGAATTAACAGGTCAACGATTTGATCTCAAGGAAATATCTGCAGCTACTTGTCAGGTTTTTTACTTTCTAATATACTTTCTCGTACAGTTATCTGCGTGGATTTTGGTTGGTGTTTCATTTGAGAGGATCATTGCTGTGTGGTTGCCATTTAAAGCCAAACAGCTAAACACCCAAAGAAACAGTGTCAAATTCCTCTGTGTTGTATCAGTATGTTTCGCTGTTCTTGACGCACATATATTCTTCACAATGACTAAAAGTGAGGAGGAACATGACATAAATGATATAGGATCAGTGTATAGGAAGAATAGGTGTACATTTTCGAATGAAAAATATTACCCTTTCATCCCTATTATATGGACCACAATAGATTCCTGCCTTGCTTGTTTTGTTCCGTTCATTATTATGTTAACTAGTAATCTTCTGATCATTTACAAAATAACAAAAAGGGATCGCAGATATAATAATTATGCCACAGAAAGTAGTTCCCAGCATGGAAATAAAAGATCCTCATCAATGACATTGATTCTTCTGTCAGTGAATTTTACATTTTTAATCACAACAGCCCCTTTGAATGTTTGGTTTATTTTAAAGGATTCCACTGGCAAGGTTCATCTTGGGCTTGAAGGAAAATTAAGGATCGAACTAATAAATGATGTTCTACTTTATTTCATGTATTTAAACAATGCTGTGAATTTTCTTTTATACTGCTTTGCTGGACCAAAGTTTCGACAAGAATTGAAAAGAGCATGTGGATATGTGAACGAAAGTCCTACTGCAGCCTAAGTTATGATTTGAAAGGACAATGCTGATGTGAAAAATGCAATTTTAGATGACAGTCATTGAGATTTCAAAAATGGACACGAAGAACAAGACATGTTATATTTATCATACACAGTAATCTCAAATATTTTATGCAAAATAAATCCTAAATGAACAAATGTTTTCTTTTGTATTTGGGGTGTAAAAGATTAATTATTGAAGAATTAGTTCAGTGCTGTACGATAGTGTCTTTGGAATTCTCTTGAAGAAAAACTGTGTTCAAAATGCAAGTAAATGATTTGATATTTTCAGAGGTGAAGGTGGTACCAAGAAGGACTTGATTGATACAGCCAAGGCTATTGCGAGAGCATCAGAGGAGGTAACCAGACTGGCGAAACAGTTAGCAAGGGAGTGCACTGATAAGCGAATGAGAACTGTAAGTAATTGATTTTCAGTATGACATATGAACATTTGAAAATTATTTATATTTGTCTGATTATTTTTACTCATGTATGATTTGAGGGTTTGTTAAATGAAGATGTATACATACATGTAATTTAAAATTGACACTGGTGTATCTTTAGAATAAAGTAGGATAGTGTCATCAGTCAGGCATAGAGGAGGGGGGCGTTTGATAGATCCACTTTAGAAAGTAAGGATATACCAAGGTACTTCTTGGTCCAAAAATCAAGAAATGATTCGTTTTCGGCCATGCTTGGTAAATTTTAAGATTTGCTTTTTAGGTACAATATTGTTTATGATGTGCCCTGTCTTTGTTTGGTTCATCACCTCGTGGTCTTTGTTGTAGAATCTGCTGCAAGTATGTGAGAGAATCCCAACAATTGGCACCCAGCTGAAGATTCTTGCAACTGTCAAAGCCACCATGTTGGGAGCACAAGGTAGGTCCTGCCACCTATTGGTGACTTTGGCATTGATAACTCTTTTTTTATTCTCCATTATTATGAGGAGCATACGCTGTGTCTAATTAAAGGCCAGAGGTGTACAAGATATATTCATGCTGGTAATAAGGTGTTTGTAGTCTATTATAATGAAATATTTTGTTAAAGGGCATCTAACATATAGATTATCATATTCATAGATTGGTGGTGGTCGGAGAATGTTCTTTTTGTTTAACCTTGCTTCCTCATAGCATCTTTGATATTGTAGCTTTAATTTGTGGGTTTTCTAAGTGAAGAAGTGATGCATGCTTGGAATATCAGTCAGTTTCAATATTATCTTAACACAGATAGAAAAATGCTTTAGAATCTCTTGAGACACATTGTTTCTTGATATCACTAAGAATGTATTATATTTATTATAGAACCAATTCCGGCACCAGATGGCAGTGAAATAGCTTGTGGTAAATACATGATTGGATCATCAGTCCATATTTGGACATAATGCCCATGTTTTGAATGTTGCTTTTTTACCATGCACCTTCATGCTAAATGCAGATAAAACAATCTGAACATGACAAACCCCAAGTTCAGAAACTAATACACTTACATTTTATTTTTAGCAACTAATATATTTTAGGTTATTTATGCATGTATGACTGAATGGTGAGACATAGGAGTTACCCATGCCTGTGTTTTTTTTTCGAGTGTGCTATTTTTTATCATCATTATTTTTAATATTATATTGCCCATAGCATCCCCTCCATTCTTATTTGTTTGTAAATTATGTATTATTCAGAACAACCAAATGAAGGTTTTGGTATGTATACAGTAGTGCCACCCATTATAACAAATATCACCACCAGGTGGCAGTGATTGTGTGTCTATCTGTGGATCCAAGAAAGATCTGTGCATAATAATGTCTTGTTTTTAATTGAGAAACAAGTGATTTATATGTAATATGTTTAATGATTATTGACAAATATGGTAGATATGAACTTTAGTGTGTAGTAATACAGTATAGTCAATTATATTTTATAATGTACTTTATGCCCCTACACAGTATACAATATGATGTACATCCTATATCCTATATTTTGTGTATAAGTGTCCCAAAAATCAAACACCCACAAACATCAAATCATTTCATCTAACATTTCATTTATTGACTGGCAAATGCGAATGTACCAATAGCGATTTAGAAAAGAATCATTCTGTAAATGATTCAAGAAAATGCAAGTGTTCTTGCCCGTCAAGCTTGATGGTGATGCAACGATGTCTGATAACAGACTGTGAGATCCAAGTGATTAGAAATGCACCCATGTTAAATGCTTTTAGAATATAGAAACCGCATCCTGTATATTGCATTTTCATTTTTCATCCCGCATCATGTGGACAGTTGCCAGTAAGTTGATTAGCCTCTGCTTATAGTAGTTGTTCTTTGTATGTAATAATAATTGTCTTTGGAAATAGTCATAGTTATTATAGTTGGTTTAGTCGCATGTTTATACTGCTTCGTTTTCATTTCATTTTTACATATTTTGTGACGTTTTATGTAAAAGAAATGGTACGTAAATGTCCAAAATATACGCTGGCCAATTGGAAATCCAATTCTTTGAAAGAAACACCATAAAATATTAGTTGTCACATCACCAGTTTGTAGATAAGTTAATTAGATATTATTTCACACATAGCTCGTCATGATGTATAAAATTCCAACCAATCAGAGCCTAGTATTTAAATGATATGCATTTTGTATTTTACAACAGAGTGAATGGTTGTTTCTAGATTCAGTGAAGTTGATTTTGGATGATTTAATGCATTCATTATTTCTATTCAACCCTCTAAATTTGGGCTACCCCCTCATTCAAAGTCTTGACTTGAGACAGCTATTTATTTCTAAAATTATTCATTCAGCCCTGAGGTAAAATCTTTTGATACTTTTATTTTCATTTCCTTGTTTTTAGCATATTTGAAAGATTTCATTTATTTTCATTCTTCTGTTCATTTCATTTGAATCATGAGAAATACTATATGTACTATAAATAGATAAAAATTCCTCAATTCACTAACCTTTTACATATGAACAATTTTGGATATATGTACTATAGTTGCCTATGTTCTATGTTTTCATGCCATTCATTACAGCTTTTTGGGTGATTGTTGAGACTATGTAATCACCAACTATTCCACATCTCTGTCCTTCTGTCTGTCAGTCAACATTTTTTGGACAATGCTCATATCCATTTTATGAGAGTCTATGCTGGGGATTTACACCATATTTGTCTGGGGTCCTACTTTTGCTTCGATTTAAAGATGTCATGTCATCATTTACCATAAGAGCCACTTAATGGTGCCATTTTACCATGCTGTATTTTGAATATGTTAAAGTTTCTTACTACATATTAGACACATTAGATTATATTACATTGCATTTTCTTATATATTGGATTTTAGTTTGGGATAGTAGGAGTTTGTTTTCCTTATGACTGGTGTACAGTTAAACATTTCTTTTTTTGGCTGTGTTCAGTACAATTTTTGGTCCTTTCCCTTTGGCACTTGTGCTTACATATTTACATCAGTTCATTCTAAACTGCATTGTATTAATACAAATACATCGAGCTTTGTAGATCTAACGGGGGATATGTAATCTTTTATGTTTAACTTTTGTTTGAAGTTTATAACATATTAATGGGACTTATAATTTCGTCTTACTGTGATTTTGTTTGTTTGTTAATTAGTTTGTTTGTTTGTCTGTCTGTTTGTATGTGTGTGGTGTGTGAAGTATTATTTGTGTTTTAAAACCCAGCTCTAATTTTCTGTGATTGCATATTTATAACATAGTCGTGAAGTTCATTTCAACTGACAATGTTTCATTTTATGTTCAGCATGGATGTCAGATATGTGTTCTAAATGTAATAATAAACAATACTAAAGCAATGATACAATAGCTTTGGAACACCATTTGTGCATTTTATTTGTGTATTAGCATGTTGTAGGATTTATCACATACTTTATTTCAAATACACCCCATATTAATAAATAGATAAATATGTGTGAATATATAGAGGGCATGTCTGATTGTATGAATCTTATATTAATATCTACTGCACACTTCACATTCAGTTATTCACTAGTTCATGTTTTGCACTTGCCATCAATTAATTTATTAGATAAAACTAATTCAATGTACAGTAAAACCTGCGAACAGGGAATGCTCTTGGGACTGAAGGAAAGTTTCCTTGTTCAGAGGTTTTCCCTATAGAGAGGGGCCGCACTTTCAGCAAACTCAAACTTGCCGAATAAGCATATTTGTATATACATTGATTGATTGTACAAATGCTGGCTCCATACTTGGTTACGTTCTCCCCATTTTGATTTTAGCTGCTGCTAGCGTCTGATGATGTTTAGTTGATGTAATTATTGATATGATGTGTAGAGATATATTGCTAAGAACTGAATTTTAAGTTTCATCTACCCCATTTTATTTCATTGATAATCTAGAAGTTGGATCAGTAAAAGATTTAAAGAGATTTGGCTCAACATGACCATGTATTTACTATCTGTTATCTCCATAAAACAATTACCCAAATGCGAGTAGGTAGTTACCAGTTTCACCACCAGGTGGCTGATTCGGGTCAATTAACATGGCAGGTATATAAGAAAGTTCCCTTAAACTTGAATATTATCAATTTAAGTGGCTCAATTTTCATATAACCCTTATGTGCCTGATACTTATACTAATGAAAATATGTCCAGTAAAGCAAAATATTATCTGTCCACTAAAAGAAAAGATATTTCATTGTTTGTGATTTTATAGCATGGGGTCTATGGGGAATCTCCCTGAGCTAGAAGTCACATTTTCAAAGAAAATTAATTTTTCAAAGTTGATAGACACTTTTTAAAACCACATTTCTAGATGTAATTTTACATGTAGATTTCAAATATGATATTACTTTGACTGCATTTTGAATTTTTAATGACGTAAATCAAGATTATTTCTACTCGCATCTGGGTTATTGTGTCAGTCCCTAGATTATCACAACTGATATAATGCAATTAGGTTTTTGAAAGGAAGAATTAGTGTCATGATATGAAGTAACAAACAGATTAGTATTAGTTTTAAAATAAATCAGGGTAATTAACAGTGGGTGGGATGGTACATCCTGTAAACAATTGGCATATCTTAATCTCAATCATATTAATCCAAGCTTTTTATACTCAGATATTGGCTTAAGACTTTTACACCTCTGAAAAATAATGGAATATACAGTGTCACCAATATTCCATATTCCTTGTTCACAGGTGAATTTTCATAATTTGCCCCAAAATAGTGTTCCTTATTCCCTGTTCACAGGTTTTCCCTACAGAGAGGGTCCGTTAACATGTAAGTCAATGGAAAAATATTTGGTTCTTTTGAAAAGCATTCCTTGTTCATAGGTTTTCCCTACAGAGAGGTTTTCCATCGGACAGGTTTTACTGTATATGTATAAAATATGCATGGTTTAATAAGTATATGAATCAATATTTATTTAGTTGTATATCCAATAGATTTGTTTTACTCGTAGTTTTAATTTTTTTTTATTTGACAACAATAATTAACATGTAAAATATATGTTCACTCACAAAACCAAAAAGTCTGAGCATTTGTATGTTTTATTTAATTGAAACTTGTAGATTAACAAAGAAATTTTTCCTAACTTGAAAAGTCATATTAAAAATAAATATTCAATTCCTAAATCTTCCATAATGAGAAATTGCAACACAAAGGACAATGCAAGAAAATCACAAAACACCTATACAGTACAGTAATTTCAACAAATATTAGGCTTTTCAACAATTTTTCTGCATCAAGCCAAATGCCAGTAGCTATATAATTTACCCATTCATAGCACATTTATAACACCTGTAACACACCTGTATAACACCTATTAAATACCTGTCTGCTAATTTCAGGTTCTGAAGAAGACCAGGAAGCTACAGAGATGTTGGTCGGGAATGCCCAGAACTTGATGCAGTCAGTTCGTGAAACTGTGCGTGCTGCAGAGGCGGCATCTATAAAGATGCGAGTAGATTCAGGATTCGCCATGCGCTGGTTGAGAAAGAGACCATGGTATACATAGATAGTGACATCATGAATAAGACTTCGAGATCTTAACTGAATATTGCAGAATAAGTCAAATTTCTAAGAAAACAAAAGCCAGGTAAATTGATCAAACGATTTCCATTTGAAAAATGATGCTTTTTTGGCAAAATTAATGAGTAGGAGGGAAAAATAAAATGAGAGATCTGGATTATTCTGGCAGGATTTAGTTGGACTTGAGTCTGATTGCAATATGTAATAATGAATATAGTGCCTATAATGTAACATAAAACAGACAATGTTGAAATGTACATATTTAATATTAACCATTTAACCCCAAGTGCTTCCAATATCTAGAGCTGATCAGAGCCCCGGGATGCCAAGTGTTAACCCTCTGATATATACTACCTAGGACATATTTAGTCACCAAATTCAGGGGAGAGTGCCGGGGTAAAACAGAAATCCAATGGATTCTGTTCTATCATAACCACTTAACGTGATATATGTTAGTAAAAGAAGGTATAGTGACCACATATCCCTGATTTTGGAACTACGTTTTCTCCTATTTGTAAGTAATAAACACACATAAATAATATGATATTTGGAAATGAGAGGCCAACTTCAATTTACATAACTATTTATTTCACTGTAGTTAAGTGCACCAATAGGATTGCTTGATTATTATATAATTGTCATGACAACATCACTTGTATTATATTATATATATATTGTATAAGATATCTTAATTTACTAGAATGTTAACTAGTAAAGACTTGGCTGTAATTACTAGGTGCATAGATCTCAGTACACAATCTGGTGCTTTAGACACACTTTCCCCTAGACTACCAATGCAATGAAAATCTGTACATTTGAAATAAAGATAAATAGGTATGATGATAATATTAGAATAAATCTGACTGACTGTTTTCTGCTGTTTTGAGTGTGGGTCAAGAAAATAGATTATTTTGTGTAAAACATGTACATGTACTTAGAAATGTTGCATGTGAAATTTATGAGGCCTTATATTGTATAATACCAGTTATTGACTGAATCTAGCTAATTTGATGTCATTGAAAACATCAAAATTGTTTGAAAATGTATTAAAAAATGCCAGACTTAAATGTTTATGTTTTTAATATTAGCCAAATGTGCACTAAATCTTTTGCAATATTTGTTATTAATTATTAAATATTTTGTTATGTTATTAAGTAACACTTTATAGAAGTTGATTTATACATGTGTATCATGTGATAGTCTTAAGTAAAAAAGATTATAGTAATATTATTTAATATTATAGTAAACATATTTAGTTAATGAAGAATACACACAGAAAGAAAGAGGCGCCAACCAAATAAAATACATCTTTTGAGGGCACATTTTTATCTGAACTTAACAAGAAATCATTGGGTATGGACTATGCATGTCACATTGGCCCATCAGGTTGGTCTTTAGAGTTCTGGACATTTGACCATGTTTGATTAAATGGTACTCTTGAACAACATGTTCAATATTGTTCAAAATGACAGTGACCCTCTGATTTTAACTAAAAGAAATTATGATATTTTGATTTCATGATAAATGCAATTTAGAATAATTGTGACAATAAATTGGAAATTCATAATTGTTTTGTGAAAAGCTAAATAACATTGTACCTGTATGTAGTCCTGTAGTCCGCTTATTGTAGATTTTGACAACAGGGAAATAAACCAGATCAGTTTATTTGGGAAAGGGTATTATACTGTATCAAGTGATATAGGTTTTATACTGGGGCTATTTTATACAATATTTTATCACTTGTATATTAGTCTACATTTAGAAAGTTTATGAAGTTTTTCTACTACTTAGAATATACTATATAGATGTAGGAATGTTGTTTCACGCTGAATAAACACTGCCCTACTATATGAAACAGAAAATATGTTTTGTTAATTTTTTGGTACTTTCCTATTATTGTAGGCACCATGGCATGGTGTAAAAACCTATTCTATAGAATAGTTTTAGTTGAATATTGAAAATTCAACAAATCAAAAATATGTCATGGGTTCACAGTAGGTAAAATTTTGGGGATACATGGTCCAGTTGTCAATTTCAACAATGGATGAATTCAGGATGGAAATCTGAGCCATCAGGTTAAATTAAGTTTCTTGTCTTTTTTTGGCTCATCAAATAAACCTGAGCTCAGTGATTGATATTTACATTGTAAGTACCCCATAATGTAATATGCAGGTAAGCTTTACCTTTATGATGGAAATTACAGGTAAGTAAAAACTCAGGTAAATCAACTCACCTGGATCAATCATCTCAATAACAATGTAATACCATAATATGATAACATCCGTTTATAAATACACATTCAATAAAAATTATTGGAATTATTTTGAAGGAGTCTGGAAAGATACCTACTGATAAAAAGTACGAGCTGTGGTTATAGATAAATGTTTTACATTTCTTCTTGGTGAAAATTTTTAATTGTGTCAACATTTGCCAATTTGATCAATCTGAATGGCTTTATTCAGATGTTTTTGGCTCATCTGAATAGGAATTTATATTTTTTATATCTACTGGTCTGGGTTTAAACTATAGGTGTCAGTGACTCTCGCCTTATTTTGTGACATATCATACTTAACGGTGTTTGATGTTTTCAAAAAAGAACTAATCAAGGTTAGTTCACCTAGTGCAATGTCAGACAATTTTGTTTATCCCTCTGATGAATAAATAAACATAATTTATAATAGTTGCCATTTTCATGAAAGGGATGCTGCAATTACATGCTCTCAGACATATTTACACACTATGAAAACATATTTTACAAAGTTATGGTTGAACTCCTTTCAAAACGTTGTCAATTAAAGGCAACCACATGTACCTTTATGATTTTGAAATATCATATTGTAGATTCAAAATAAGCTCATCATCTTTTTGCCATTTGCAGTTAAATCCTGGAACAATTTGTCAAATTAGAATTGCACTAAGAACTCTTAATTTAAACATCTTTATTGCACTTTGAAAAAGTGTGATATCACATAAATTAGATATATTTAATATAAATTTTTAACAGTTGCAAGAGCAGACTAGTGCAGATCTGAAAAGGTTCTGGGAATACTGGGTGAAGTACGTCGCTACACTTTTGTTCTTGAAAGTGTAATATTTAAATTCTTATCACTTCAAAATAACAAAATGTTTTAGATTTGCAATATTTCGATTTGTTCTATAAATTTTTGTCAAGCAGCTGTTGAAAAAATGTTGCTCTGAAAACTTTGTTGCTTGAAAAAGATTATCAATAGAATAAATCGAATTATTGCAGATCTAAATCATTTTGTTATTAACATAAAAACAACAACTTCAAAATAAAATACATGTTACAAATTCTTCCAGAACATTTTATTTAATTGTTTAATGATTTTGACACAGCATGTTCAATTTTTTGTTATATTAGTTTTAATAGTTGTTATTAATTGCACTGTCAGTCAGCAGTGAGAGACAAATATTCATATTATTGAAAAGAAACATATTATTATATTGTGGATACTGTATATAAATATTTTTTCTATACAATGGATCATGAAGATTTTTACAATGACACCATTTTAACTAATGGTCCTGTTCAGTAGTCACGGGGTACCATCGAATAATTTTGGCAACGTACCGGAGAATGACATTTTACTAAGAAATGGCAATAATTTAGCACAATATATTTTTTTAACTAGAGTTCTACTTTGATTTTGACAAAAGTAAGTATTCCATGCAATGGCTATTTCATTCATGAGTTTGTAGGAATTCTGTTGGAACCCAGTTCTGATCAAGTACGAAGTTATTGAAATCGGCGCAGTCAGACTTTACTCCGAAAGATGGTTTTTCGATTATAACTTTTTACAACATTTAAGTATAGACTTTTGAAAAAAGTACAGAATAGTCCTTATACTATTGAATAATTCTGTTATTTCTGATTCACACGACTCTGATTTGTTTAATTAAAAAAAAAGTTTAAAAAATATTTCTTAGGAACGTAACCGGAGCTGGGAACGTAACCGGAGCAGATCAGTTGAATTATACAATTTAAAAAAATAAAATATATGATTTAAAGCATATATATTAATAAATACGCATTCGAACAATCCCGTATGTTTTTAAATTAGTATATGTGCTTTAAATCATATATTTTAATTTTTTGAAAAGTTATAATCGAAAAACCATCTTTCGGAGTAAAGTCCGTCTGCGCCGATTTCAATAACTTCGTACTTGATCAGAACTGGGTTCCAACAGAATTCCTACAAACTCATGAATGAAATAGTTATTGCATGGAATACTTACTTTTGTCAAAATCAAAATAAAACTCTAGTTAAAAAATATATTGTGCTAAATTATTGCCATTTCTTAGTAAAATGTCGTTCTCCGGTACGTTGCCAAAATTATTAGATGGTACCCCGTGGTAGTACTGAAACATTAACATATTAAAATACATAAAACATAAACTGCACTATTGGTTGGTATTTTCAAATGTTCATCCTACACCATCATCTCATTCGCTAGCAGGGAGAACTATTTTATAGTCATTTTCCTCTTGTTTTCTTTTCTATTAAATTTTCTAACTGCACATTTGCTAGCACCTGTAATCACTGGCAGATATTCAGTGTAGAACTTAACACTATCAGACCTGATGAAGGTATCGATTGGGGTGATGTTGTCAGATAACTCAAGGTACTGCTCTTTGTCTGCCGTGAAGATTGGCCATTTTACTGGCAAAGCTGGGCTTGCTACAGGGTCATTGGGGTTTCTGGAAATAACAATATAAGAATTGTTTGATTTGTATATGGAATGGACATTTGTGTCTCTTGTACAGTATATCTAAATGGAACTATATGATTCACATTAGATTTGAAGTAGTTGGTTTTATTCGCATTAGATTAGAAACAGGTCAAGAATATACTTCATATCATTCATAGTATTTTTGAGATTCTGGCTTATATGCTTTCTCATGAAACCATGATTTGCTTAAGTATATGCAGTAGTATGGATGGTATGGTGTCACAAACTTAGATACTCATAATGTTTATCTTACCCAGTCTTAGCAAAGTTTGTCCAGTAGGTGATCATGTTGTATGAAAGGAGTTGTTCTGCCTCTGGTTTTGCAAGGAAGGTATCTATTCTGGGAATTATGTAGTCCAGATCTTCGTCATGGTCAGTCCCCTTAACCCAAGTAGGTAAGAAACTACCAGCCTTTCTGTAATTCAGGTTGTATATGTAAGAATGTTTCCCCTGGGCTGCATGCATCTTTACAAATTGATATGCTGGGACCGTAAACCAAGTGTCAGTTATAAAATGCATGCCAATTTCAGTAATTTTTTCCTTTGTCAGATTTGTCCAGTCCTCAATCCCAAAGTATGCATATATTAAAGTTTTGAATATTATATCTTTACTCGTGGCATCCGAATATGTAGCAGCTATACCCTCGATTGCATCTTTCATCACTGGAATAGTATAAGTCATATTTTCCCATGGTATTGGCTTCCCATGGACATAAGCACGTTCAAATGGCACAAATATTGACACAAATAAGAAACCCTCATCACTATTTGTGCCTAACATCAGATCAATGTCTCCCAACATTTTTGGTATGGGGCCTCTCGTTTTGCCTATCAAGTCATATGGGTCTCTAACAATGAATTTTCCATCTACAACCGGAACCCATTTGAAGAAATTATCAGGTGCAGGGTATGGAGTAAGTGCAACATTAAGGAGTTTAGTTGCCTCGACACCTATGAGGCATTCTATCAGATCTTTAATGTTAGGATTATCACACCCTACTGCTGTTCCTGTCTCTCGAATGAATGGCACCATGTCTTTTTCTTGAAATGCAAATGGAGTAAAGATTGTTCCACTTTGGGAGATGGCCCTCCTAGAATTGGAACAAAAAAATGACATACAATTGTTTGCCTAGGCACAGTCGTTTTTGGAAATGACTTGTTCTTTGAAATATTGTTATGTCAAGGCTATTTTCCCATTTCTTTGATACTACACTGAACATGATGTGACATTTATACAATTTGGGTAAAGTTCAAAGAATATATCAGCCCTTTCCAGCAAAATAGCTAAGGGGTCATCCATGAGAAAATGTTACATTTTTCCTTACTCTTTTTCTTGCCAAACGTGTGTTTATGTTATCATCAATAAAAAATAAATCATATTCATTCAGACTTACTGAAAAAGTCCCTTATTTGAGGGGGCAATGACATGTTGAGTGACACTTGAAGCTCCTGCAGACTCTCCAAATATGGTGATCCTTTCTGGATCCCCACCAAATAAGGCAATGTTGTCTTTTACCCATCGAATTCCAAGTTGTTGATCAAGTAGCCCCATGTTGCCTACATTAGATAATTTTCATCATTTTGTACATTTTCAGGTAGTACCTTATTCCAGTCTTTTCTAATATTATGTGATAATTACACTTAACTTACCTGGCACTAAATCATCCCCCGTGCTAAGAAATCCAAATATATTAACTCTGTAGGCTACATTGACGACAATCACATCCCCAATAATTGTAAGCATGGTAGGGTCATATAGGTTTATGCTTCCACCATAATATCTAAAATAGTTTAAAGATCATGAGATCTGAGTCTCATTGGCACAATATATTTTATTTTGTATGATTTGTAAAATGAAGCCCTCTGATTTGTCTGTTCTTGTGCTGTACCAATCTGTATTGCCACTGAAAATATCCCTATTGATCATCTCTGTAGCAATACAAAAAATATTGGTACGGAGGAGACAATTTCAGTAGCTATACAGAGAATACAGAATATTTCTTAGGAATTATCTCCTAAGATCATACATAAAATGTTATTGAATGATTTGGAGTGCCATACAGTATATATTCTGCTCAAGAAATTCTGTATTGGTACAGTATTTTAAAATACTATTTTTAATGATAATAACTTATTTATGTATGATATAGTTATTCACTTCTGATTTCAATGGTCCGTATTGTTTAATTTGGTGACTGTTCATTTTTTATGATTTGTTATACTGTCTATTGCACTACCCTCTGTCATAGATCATTGAAAAAATTGAGAAATACTTACCCTCCACCATAGATCCATACCATAACTGCCTTTGGCTCAGTACTAGAACCATCCCCTGGAGCCCAAATACTCAGGTACAAACAGTCTTCACTGGTCTCAAACTGTGGCAGTTGAGGCCATTGATGTTGTACACAGATTGCTGGATATGTTGTCGCTTCACGTGTCTCATTCCATGTTGCACTCAATTGTTGTGGGGGTTTGAACCTCAGAGTTCCAACTGGTGGATCAGCAAAGGGAATCCCAAGAAATCTCCTATATGTTAAATCACGTCCTTCAAGATATGGTGAAGTTGCTAGGTTTGAAACTGACTCCTGGCTTCCATGTATTGGTCCATTAGGTATATTCACAACATCTGTCTTGATCGCTGCAGATGATGTAATCACAATTTGTGTCAAAACTAAAAACACAATATCCTTCATTTTGAATTTATTTATATTATCTATAAAACGGTCTTCCCAACACGTTTTCATATAATGAAACAATTCAGTGACAGAGTTGTTTTTATATGTCCCCAGTTCAGGATATGTGCATCCACTTTGCATATCAATAAATGCATTTTTGAGGGATTGTATAAATGTTTTTGCCTCCATCTCCCCATAAAATGCAATTTGAAGATTTTGATTCTCTGTTTGCTTTTACTTCAGTTCTAGCAAGAGTCATCAACACAAATTGAAAATAGATTCTGATATATTATGGAAGAGTGTTACAGTGGTCAAGCAGAATTGTCATTTAATGTTGTTCATTTATGTTCCCGAGCACTATTAATATTTGGAAGAAATTACTTTGAATTAAGATTTAACACAATATTTTGCTTGTGATTTTCTGATTCTGTCTTCTAAATGTGTGTCCATTTTCATTTTATGTGATAGATATTTAACCAGTAGGCCATGTGAAGATTACTGACCTTTTTTAGTGCCACCTTAAGAATTACCCCAGAATTCGCAGTTAAACCTATTTCCATGTAAAGATGAACCTCTAATGGTTAACTTATATTTTATTCAAATTATATCACTGCTTTAAATGGTATTTTTAGGATTTTGCAGATTATTGACATAGACACCTATAAATCCTGTGGTATGTCCCTTCTCCCACCCAAACTCTAATTTTCACAATTTTTTAACACAACCCCTTATAGTAAGTTATAAAATTAACCTATCAAAATTTTTGGATTGTAAACAATTTTTTTGCTTTTATGAAGTGTGCTATTTGTTGTCATTGATATATGATAATGCTGCATTTATAGTTTCTTGTTGTTTGATGTTTTTTCATGCTTGACATTATAATGAATCATCTCATTTTTTTTCTGGAACATAACAATTATCACCTTACACAAATATGCAAATGTGTATAAACATTCTGCGTTAATGTTTTTTTAATGACTTTGTTAGTTAAGGTACAGTGTCACTTAGAGGGTGGGGTTCACATTCACAAATGTGTTGATGCTTATTTACTCTGTAAACTTCATAACATTGTGTAATATGTTACATAGAGATAATAGATCCAACATTATGTCTGGGTATAATCTATTTAGTATACATTTAACTTGAAGTGACTCAAGGTACCTTTAAACTAATTCATAGAAGGAAGTTTAAGCCTTTGCTCTAATAAATATGTTTTGATATTTTTGTGATAGTTATATCTTTTTCATGAATGCATTTCTAGTCACTGAGTTATGTACGTCATTAAATTCAATAAGTAAACTTCTTCAATGATAAGATAAGATAAACCCAGGCTTGTAGGCTTATGTAGCCTTTTGCTTGTATTAGTGTGTGTATTTATTGTCCACATCAAGTCATATTTGGCATGTATACCCTTAAAGCTTATGCTCCCAGTCTTATTTCAGTGGGTGGTTGTACCAGTGGTCATCCAACCTGTTCTTGAATTTGTCAACACTTCTTGCTTGGATAACATATTCAGGCAGTTTGTTCCAGGGTGATATGACTTCGTTGAAAAAGAAGTGCTGATAGATGGCTCTTTCAAAAATTAAATAAATGAAAAGGTTTAATGGATAGTTGTTTTTTTATCACACCATCGGTGGGATATAGTCGTCATACTGGTCGTGATCGTGGTCGTGATCGTGGTCGCGATCGTGATCGTGGTCGTGATCGTGGTTGTGATCGTGATCGTCCCGCTTTTTGTCATCGCCATTTAAGGAAAACTGCTCATCAGATTTTCTCCAAATTCGCAGAGATGATAGAGCATATGAAGTACTAGAGCTGATTAACTTTTGGGCGGCCATCTTGTTTTCTGGCGGCCATTTTGAAGGTTTTTCGAAAAATCTTGTCATCGCCATTTCAGGAAAACCGCTCATTGGATTTCCTTCAAATTTACACAAATGATAGAGGATATCAAGTTCTAGAGCTGATTAACTTTTGGGCGGCCATCTTGTTTTCTGGCAGCCATTTTGAAGATTTTTTCGAAAAATCTTGTCATCGCCATTTCAGAAAATCCGCTCATCGGATTACCTTCAAATTTACACACATGATAGAGGATATCAAGTACTAGAGCTGATTAACTTTTGGGCGGCCATCTTGTTTTCTGGTGGCCATTTTGAAGGTTTTTCGAAAAATCTTGTCATCGCCATTTCAGGAAAACCGCTCATCCGATTTCCTTCAAATTTACACAAATGATAGAGGATATCAAGTTCTAGAGCTGATTAACTTTTGGGCGGCCATCTTGTTTTCTGGTGGCCATTTTGAAGGTTTTTCGAAAAATCTTGTCATCGCCATTTCAGAAAATCCGCTCATCGGATTTCCTTCAAATTTACACACATGATAGAAGATATCAAGTACTACAGCTGATTAACTTTTGGGCGGCCATCTTGTTTTCTGGTGGCCATTTTGAAGGTTTTTCGAAAAATCTTGTCATCGCCATTTTAGGAAAACCGCTCATCGGATTTCCTTCAAATTTACACAAATGATAGAGGATATCAAGTACTAGAGCTGATTAACTTTTGGGCGGCCATCTTGTTTTCTGGCAGCCATTTTGAAGATTTTTTGAAAAATCTTGTCATCATCATTTCAGAAAATCCGCTCATCGGATTTCCTTCAAATTTACACACATGATAGAGGATATCAATTACTAGAGCTGATTAACTTTTGGGCGGCCATCTTGTTTTCTGGTGGCCATTTTGAAGGTTTTTCGAAAAATCTTGTCATCGCCATTTCAGGAAAACCGCTCATCGGATTTCCTTCAAATTTACACAAATGATAGAGGATATCAAGTACTAGAGCTGATTAACTTTTGGGTGGCCATCTTGTTTTCTTGTTCTTGAAATTTGTAAACATAATAGGAGAACAGTTTTCCTGGTTCATAGTGTCTGCCTATTTGATGGTGTGATCTCGTTCACGTCCTGTGCCTTGTCTTTGATGTTCAAAGCAGTTGACACACATTGTATCATATGAAAAGGTTCTAGATTAGTTGTTTTTTATATATATTATTTATTAATTTTGCAAAGAATAATAAAGGTAACGGTTAAGTGTAAGCTATTATATTGCTTAATAAGGATGCCGGGTAAAGGTTTTCTAAGTGGATGTCCCCAGCTATGATGTTAGATTTTTTAACCTCTGGGCTTAGACACCCAGACAAATGGTAAATCAATAAAAAATATAAAGTAGCCACTACATATTGTCCAGGGGCATTGGCCAGATGATTTTTGGTAGAGCATTGTCTAATGTGTCCAGTTAAATTTGGGTTAATTTCAAGTCTAATGAATTTGGACATTTCTGCATCTCAAATCTGTGATACCTTTCATTTATTAGTTATCTCAGTTGATCAAATAATAACACGAAGATTGCAAGGGAAACATTGGCATGCTTTTTTAAAAGTATTGCTCCAACATATTTTACACTATTTCTTCGGTGCCACTTTAATCTCAGAGTTAATAATACAAATCTCAAATGTCCAAGGAAGAAAAAGAGTAATAATGAACCATACTTGATCATATTTGTCAGGAAAGGATTCATTTTGAAGATTGGTGCATCATCGTGTCACTGATTCTGGCTAGACAAAGATAACATTTATAATGTTTGTCTGGGATGTCATTCTAACTCTTACATTGTTTCGAGTAACTTTGTATTCTCCCTATTGATCTGTTTTCATCATGACTAATGTTTATCGCTCCCATATGACAGGAATCACTATATCTTTAGATGCTCTGTATGTATGAAGTAGAAAATATGAAATATAGTTGATACTTAAAATATGTCTCTTAGGACCTGGAGTATGTGAATAGAGTAATTATCTGAGTGAATTTTCTGGAACATAACAATTATCACCTTACACAAATATGCCAATGTGTATAAACATTCTGCGTTAATGTTTTTTTAATGACTTTGTTAGTTAAGGTACAGTGTCACTTAGAGGGTGGGGTTCACATTCACAAATGTGTTGATGCTTATTTACTCTGTAAACTTCATAACATTGTGTAATATGTTACATAGAGATAATAGATCCAACATTATGTCTGGGTATAATCTATTTAGTATACATTTAACTTGAAGTGACTCAAGGTACCTTTAAACTAATTCATAGAAGGAAGTTTAAGCCTTTGCTCTAATAAATATGTTTTGATATTTTTGTGATAGTTATATCTTTTTAAAATGAATGCATTTCTAGTCACTGAGTTATGTACGTCATTAAATTCAATAAGTAAACTTGTTCAATGATAAGATAAGATAAACCCAGGCTTGTAGGCTTATGTAGCCTTTTGCTTGTATTAGTGTGTGTATTTATTGTCCACATCAAGTCATATTTGGCATGTGTACCCTTAAGGCTTATGCTCCCAGTCTTATTTCAGTGGGTGGTTGTACCAGTGGTCATCCAACCTGTTCTTGAATTTGTCAACACTTCTTGCTTGGATAACATATTCAGGCAGTTTGTTCCAGGGTGAAATGACTTCGTTGAAAAAGAAGTGCTGATAGATGGCTCTTTCAAAAATTAAATAAATGAAAAGGTTTAATGGATAGTTTTTTCTTTGATGTGCAAAGCAGTAGGTTCTAGATTAGTTGTTTTTTATATATATTATTTATTAATTTTGCAAAGAATACTAAAGGTAACTATTAAGTGTAACCTTTTATATTGCTTAATAATGATGCAGATACTGGGTACCAAATGTCATTGAAAGTCAAACCATGAAGGTTTTCCAAGTGGATGTCCCCAGCTATGTTAGATTTTTTAACCTCTAGGCTAACACCCAGACAAATGGTAAATCAATAAATCAATAAAAGATTTTAAGTAGCCACTACATATTGATGATTTTTGGTAGAGCATTGTCTAATGTGTCCAGTTTAATTTTGGTTGATTTCAAGTCTAATGAATTTGGACATTTCTGCATCTAAAATCTGTGATACCTTTCATTAATTAGTTACTGTATAAGTGGTAATTTTGCCTTATCATTTAATTTTCCTATTTCCTAATTTTTTCCAGGTTCGGAAAATTAAATGTCGGAAATATTGTC